AAGCTCCTGGTACATACTTAAATCATAGCGGAGGTGGAACGAGAATTGAACTAAAAATGCCAGTTCAGCTACAGAATGTGCAGGCGTGTTCACCGTTGAGCTCACACCTCTGTGAATGTGATCCGATCCTACTCCTAATGGATTGTCGCTTCCTGTGCACATGTGTATGTGTCGTCCTGAAGTCCCAAGCTCTTACCTGAAATATCAACTTTAGAGCCAATTCAGAGCACTTCTTTTTAAACACAAGGTCCACATCCAATGATTAGAACAATAAGTGCACATTTATGGAATGTTATAGTTGAGTGTCCCCTGAATGATGATCTCTGCCACAGCCAGATTGACCCAATTGTTCCTTCTGTGTTCAGCCACTTCCCAGCTGGGAATCCTTCAGCTTGGTTTTCCTTTTTCTACGTTTCACACTTCATTAACTGTTCCAATGTGGAAAGCACAGTTTCAATGTTAAATTAATAACTAAATGTCTTGGCAAGTGCTCTTCAGTAGAAGGGATTATTTGGGAAAGAATTGAAATGCAGTGAGAGAATTCCTGTTTATCTAGGGCCACATGAATATTCATACATCTGTGTATAGATCAATACATACATATATTTTTACATAGTCCATTATTGTGAAATGATTAAAGGAAGAAATTTTTTTCTGGTATTTCTAGTCCTTTGAAAAAGGATGACTGAGAAAGAAACAGGACAGAGACAGAGTACAATCATGATCTTTGAGGATTATTTCTGTTACAGAAAATAGTTACCACTTATCTTCAGCTACTATCTACCTAATTACCATATGAATGTTCTGTAATTATACAGTCATCATTGTCCTTTTGATTACATGATTGTGTTTGGAGCTACTAGGTAGCTCTTAGTGTAATTGCCCAAAGGAAGTTATAACAGTTTTTATATTGTGAATGTAAAGCAATATTATGTCATGTTATTCTTACTTTCTTAGCACAGATTAATTACATTTATTATGCCCCTTTTTTATCATGTGCAGAACATGTCAATTGTTATGCCATTCAGGACAGTGAAATGCTCAAAACATTTGACAAAGCACATTCCACAGGAAGAAAGACTCCATTGTTCTAGAAATAAAATTACACTTTTTGCTAAATATATTTTCTGAGAAGTGTGTCCAGTCTCCCATGTCTAGGCTCGTGCTGAAATTCTTATTACACAGTTACACATATGCTTGTCCTCAACAAGTAATCAACTGTGGGTCTTCTGATTTGATTTCATCTTCATGCTCAAATTATTCTTGCTTTCTAAAAGGTGAGCAGCTGTCCATCCTCTGCTTTGGTGTCCATAAATTCAGACTCCTCGTGCTGCAGCTTACTGACCAAGCTAGCAGAATCTTGGAATTTCAGTCTTCATTCACTCCTTCTATCTGCAGCCCCTTCTCTATTTTAACTCCCAACACATAATCATTTCACAGCTGCAATTTTTCTAATCAGTCTTCCATGCATTTAAGCATTTTTTTAAAAAAAAATTCTTTTAGCGACAATAATTATTAAGCTAAATTTAAAATTTGAAAAAAGTAGCTATTTGTGAGACATGTGTGTGTGTGTGTGTGTGCGCGCGTGCGTGCACATTTGTGTCAGAAAGGAAAAGGTAATTCTTGTGTGGTATACTTTTATATTAACCAATTACTGTACCTAGGCACACACATTATAAAAAGAAATACTTCTATTTAGATTTTCTTTCTATTGTTTCTTGTTCAGTGAGGTTTCACTTTGCAATCCTGGAATATGAAAAATGAGAAAGTTATAAAATATTTGCAAAGATAAGTTCATACAAATAATTGATGCAGCTTTAAATGAATTATTAAAAATGACTAGTTTGATTTAAAAAGGTGCAACCTTTATGGGGTTTTAAGGCATTTTTGATGTTTTAATTGGTGATCTCTATATAGCAACTATTTTTAGGGACTGAAACAAGGATTAGAATGTTTACAACCTTCTCAACTTCCGTATTAGTTTCAGAGTTTGTTTGGTCAGGATCAAAAACCTTAGAAACCAAGTGAACAATTAAATACTAATTAAACCTTCTCATACATTATTCTTCATATTTCAGTAAATCAGTAAACAAATTTATGCTGGATTGGAAAGTGCTAATGAAATATTCATTTTATTAAATACCTGAAATGACACTTGGAATTTAAATATGAATGCTATTAATTGCTTGAGAGTTACAGGGGGATGAATAATGAGAATAAGATATATATTTAGACAATTTTATTAATACACTTTTCATTGAGAGTGGATTATTATTGTGAAGAAAAGGAGAAATGTGATATGACATTCCTATGGCTTATAGGATTGCAAACATAACACTGAGGTACCTGTAGAGAAACTATTTTATTTCTGTTTGTTTAACCTCTCATTTTGGATATAGTACCATTTAATGCCTTTTTAAATTTATTTTTAACTTTTATTTTTTATTAGCAGATGTTTACATTCCATAATGATTACATTCCTTATGGGATATATATATATATATATATATATATATATATATCTGTTATCATTTTCTTCTGGTCACCCTCTTGCCCTCCCCTCCACATCTCCATCTCATGCTCCTGGCTTTCATATGGCGTGTCCCATGGCAGTGCTTGCAAGGGCAGTGGACACTTAAGGATATTAAATAATTTGTTTGCAATTTTCATGTGTCCAATGCTTCTGTAGTAACTAAAATATCAAGTACTGAATTCTCTTACATCTCTTTTCTCCTCAGTTCTGGAGTTTTGGAACTGAAAATGTGTAAAAGGAGCAGATTGAAGACAAAAAGAGAGAGAGAGAGAGAGAGAGAGAGAGAGAGAGAGAGAGAGAGACAATCATGGGAGAGGGACAAGACATTTAAACATGCAATCAAAGAATGGGCTCTAGAATACTAAGAGTGGTGCAGGAGACCATCCAGATACCGATGTCTATCTATCTATACCTCTAGCTCTCTATCTATCTACATATGTACAGATTTCTGGGGGTTTTTTCTGCTCTTGACCGTAACGGCAGACGACAGGACACATCTTTCATATTCTTTTGATTCCATGTTTATTCCATGACAATGACATTCATTTAATGTATCTGACATGGTAGGAAAAATACTGTAGCAATAAAAGATAAAACTGTTCTGTACAGCATAGAAACTAGACCTTGAATATATTTTAAAAGTTCATCTATAAAGAAAGCTGCTGTTTAGTCTTGTTATTCAAGTGTGATAAAATTTCTAAATCATACTAATGCATCTTCTATTCCTTTAGTTTGGAAAATAATTATCACTGATGTCTAGAGAGAAGTTTAAAATCACAATGATACAATTTCGATCTTCAGCTCTAACCTCTTGAAAGTGCTATTCTTTCTCATTACGGTCTGGTCCAATATTCTTAAGCACTGAATCTAAGTAAGCATACTTAGCACAATACGACAGCAAGATTAGAGAGAATAAGAGTGTTTGAAATTAATTTCCATAAATGTGAAGCAACCATGTCAATAAATTTAATAACTCTCTGCTTTAATGAAGAAATAGATAACATACAAACATGAGAATTAGAAACGATATTTAAGTTTCTTCAAGCACTGCAGTTGTTATGAAAAAGGTTACAGTTTCTAAATTGTGATTTTTATCTGCTTAATCTCATTTAACATTCTTTCACAGTTAGATAGCTAAAAGGAAATTGTTGCTCCTAAACACACATTCCAGGATCACTTTAATCAGTTATTTTGCTAAAGATACTATTACGATTTAACGTTTTAAATTTGCTAAGCTATTTTGTATTTACATATAAACATGTACGGATCTTTGTTAGCTGAAATGCCCAAACAAATCATCTAAGTGTAAAGTTAGAGATTTGCATATTTTCAAGTGGCCTTTGTTGTACTGTACAAGTTCAAGAGTTATAGCAATGTTTGTGGGATGAATTCCTTTCCTTGTAATGCTTGGCATGGCATATCTATTAAAACAAATGTCTTAGAATATAGGAAGTTCCTTCCTTGGGGTAATGGGGAAAGTTACCTCTCACCTCATAGGAGGAGAAATAGCCTAGATTTCTCCATCACTTCTGACTCAGAAAAGATCAATGACTTCTCCCGGCTTCTTTCTTCTTGTAGTTTCACGAGAGAGACACCTTTGCTCAAGTGCTTAGATAAACCTGAGCATGTCTAGCACTTGTACTCAGAGGAATCTTTCCACATCCCATGTGGTGCAGACAGAAGCCCCCAGTTACCACACCCTCACTGTTCCCTGGATGGAAAGAGGTCTGAGAGGATAAAAAAAAATATCTGACATTTAAGGAAATCATGAGTGTTTCTAATCATGCTATACTGCAAATTAATTGAAAGCTAAGTAACTTTGCTAAAATGCATAACTCAGAGCCAAGAGTTTGTCATCTAACATATGTCAGTGTAAGTACTCTTAGCCAGATGAAATGAGGCCTGATTTAAACAAAGGAGGAATCAATGGTATTACCGGAGAAAGCTAGTTTGCTTATTACTGCAAGATCCCTTTGTAAATTAATCTGCTTATTGTTCTTTACAGCATAGAAACTGGACCTTGAATATATTTTTAAGGAGAAAGAAACCTGAAAATATCCATAAAGCAGAGTTTTAAAACAGGCTAATAAGAGAGTTACAATAATTAATACATTTATATTATTATATTCATACTAGTTATTAAGTATACAAGATATGTGTATGAAATATTGTCCACACAGTATTAGCACAAACTTTTCTTTTCAATGAACTGAGAGAAACTTCCTGTATAACTGTCTTCTTTATGAATATATTTTCCCTTTTATCCTATCACAGTTTCTTTTCTTTTGAGCAGTTTCTTCAATATTCACAATCTTTATTGTGCATTTTGGATCTTATTTCTTGCTCAGTTTTTTCCCCTCTACTGCGTTCAACCATTTAAAAATATTACATGATATAGTAACATTAATTATGCTGAAGAAAACTATCCACAACCTGTTTTGATTGCTTCATCATGCCTTTATCCTAGATGTTTGCCATCATTATTGTGTGAACTCTGAGTCATGCACCATTGGCAATGACGGAAGTGTGGAATGCGTCTGTCCAACACGCTATGAAGGGCCGAAATGTGAGGTGGACAAGTGTGTCAGGTGCCATGGGGGGCACTGCATTATAAATAAAGACATTGAAGATATAATTTGCAAGTAAGTGGGCATATAGATTAATCTATGGAAGTATTTCAATTTAAAGAACATAGTTCAATAATAGACTGAAATAATGCAAATTATTTTATTATAAAATTCTATATGTGAGTCATTGCATCTTTTAAAATATAGAAAGTAAGTTTATTCAATTCATTCAACTTAAAAATTTTCAACACGCTTTAGGAACATCTGTGAACCAGGAAATCCACTCTTTTATGATATGGTCATAGATTATTATTAACATAGATTGTTAATATCACAGATTATTTCCTATAAAGAATATGTCGAAGAATAAGAATGGAAATAAATGCAACATCTGTTAAAAAAAAGTTATGTGTAATGTTATATAATACAAAATAGCTCATGGGGCCGGGGAGATAGCTCAGTAGACTAAGTGCTTGTCTGGCAAGTGCAAGGTCCTGAGTTTGATCCCTGGTGAGAACATATAAAAGCTCGGATTTTCAATTGAGTTTTTATATTGACAGTGAATAGGCTAGCATTTTGCTATAATTCATCCTTTGGGCAGTGCCAAAAGTTGCTTTCCATTAATTTGACTTTGGCATTATGTTTAAAAGAAACAGAAGTAATAACGTGTTCTGGGAAACAACTACCACAAAAGTATCCAAGTGACTTCTGCATACTGCCTTTTGATCTTTGGCTCAACACTTAAGTGAATGGAAAACAAAAGATGGCTAAAGAGTAAGAAGAACGTTGTTCAGCCTCTATCATGAAATAAGCTTATCCCGCGGAGGTTAGAGGTCAATCCTCACTCAGAACTACTTTAACAGCCTTTTAGAAGAAGGACTTACAAAGGCCTGCATTCTGTCTCTTGTGTTGCTTACAAACATAATAAATGGGAATATGTGACAGAAAAGCATTCCATAAAGATTCCTTGCCATGAGGTCCACTGAGAGCTCCCTGCAAGGGTGCCAGATGAAATATGCTCTTTTGCCAAACAAAGCTCAATAAAATTTTATTAGAGGCAGTACCAATAGTTTTTCTTTTTTATTTCCTCTCATTTTAGGATCTACTGTAAATATGATTTGTGTTATCATTTTAAATGACATTTATGCAAACCAGCAAATTGAGTCATTTCAAAGCACATTATTTTTTTAAGTAAAGCAAATGAAAATATAATCAAAATATAAATATGTATTTTTGATAAGTACATAAAAGTAAAATACACTTTTATATAAACTACCTAGATCATGTTGGCTCATTATGATCAGTAATTTTTGTGATAAAACCTTAAAGTTACAGAACTTCATTTCAAAATTCAGGCCTATGTTTTTTTGTGTTCAGTGTACCATGTCAGAAAATGCTGAAAGTCTTTATGATCTACCACACTTTCAAGGAATCCTTGCAGTGAGTCAGAGTTTTCTCCTCAGTTTGCCTTGGAAAATTCTTTCAGAGACACAGATTGTTTCTACTGTATAAGAGAATTTCATACAAGGAAGAAAGGATAAAACCTAGTTTCCATATTGATTAAAGAACAGTACATATTAATTTTTTCAAACTAAAAACATATGATTCTCATCACCTGATCAGGCTACTGAGATGTAACTACAGTATTTTAATCTTTTTAAAAGATCTTTGGGGAAATGTTTATATAGGAATAAAGAAATATCAGTTCATAATAGTGAAAAGTAGAACCTTCAAAATGGGAACATGATTTCACTTAGGACATCAGCCTCCGTAACATTTGGTGTTGTCAGTACAAACACAAAACTTTACAGATTCCAAGATGCTGTAGATATTAAAGTTCCTTATCTTTCCCGTGGTAACTTCCATCTCAACATTAAGATGAGATTATAATAAAGTTAGTATTTCTCGTGCAAAGATAAAGAAGAAATGAACACAAAATTCGAGCAAAATGGAATTCAATAATTTCTACTTAAGTAGAAAAATTCAAGGGAGCACATGCACATTTGTTTACATATAAGCAGTGATGTTCTAAAGTACAGCTTGCAAACTGCAAATTGAAGTCAGTAGTCTGTCATGTATAAGGAGTACAGTAATGTGAAGCCAACTTATTATGCATTGTCTTTTCCCTGAAAATCAGGGCAAGTGTTGTAGAAAGACTTGATCATAGTGAGGTTTTAATTTTTTTTTATTATTATTATTTTGGTTTTTGAAAAAGGGTCTCATTATGCAGTTCAGGCTAGCCTTGAGATCGCTTTGTATCCCATATGGCCTGGAACTCAGAACAATCATCCTGCCTCAGCCTCCTGAGTGCCGGGATTGCAGGCATGCACTAAGATGCCCGGATCTTGATCATAGCCTTTATTGGTCCCGATAACCCTTTTGCAGTCAAATAATATGAAAACTTTTGTAGTAGATAACTGGTAATTAACTTTGGGAAATGATAAATCCCAAGCTGTGCATGTGTGTCTATATGTGTGTTTGTATGTATCATGAATGTCTGTAAAAAAGGAAAACTATCATAAAAATGTACACAAAATATTTCTAGTAATTTTGAGGCTATAAAATGATTTGTCTTTCATATTGAAAATCTGTAAACTTCTGTCTTTAATTTTGATTTAAACAAAATCTTTATAAGGAAAAAGAAGCAGTATGTGTTTTTAATATTTTATCTACTCATTTTTTTGGTACAGTCTCACTACACAGCTTGGACCCATAGTGATCCTCTTGTGTCAGCCTCCCCAGCAGTGGGATTGCAGGCTTGTGCCAGCATGCCCAGTTTTGGTGGCTGACACAGCATGCCCAGTGTTCTTGGCTGGCTCAGCATGTGCCACTGAGGATGAATCCTGACTCCTTGTGCTTGCCAGGCAGGCGAGAAGCAATGTGTTTTATATCTGTTGAAAATAGAAGTTTGTAAGCAATGAGGATTTTCTTTCTTTTTCTCTTTAAATCACTACTGTACTGTTAACTTTTTATAGAAAGATATTTAAATCATAAAAAGTTAATTTTCCCCTTTGAACTTGTTCTTTAGATAAAACAAAAACCTAACTTTTTCTCTTTTGATATTCAAGGAGGCAGAGGAAATTCCCTCAGAGCTTAGCCTGTCAGACACCAATATCTTTGCTGATGGCCTGGACTCACTTTGAAACCATAGTAGGGTTCCTGTGTAGTCTACCTTGAATGTAATATTCTCTCCTGAATCTTGGAAGTTCTAGGCCACCCTCCTTTGTACATCTCTGTCTCTATTTTACACAGCCCCAGTTCATAAATCAGGATACAAAGTAACTCACTTTCCTGACTCATCTTGACTAGAAATGTGGCCTTTAAACCCAGGCTCTTTAGAAAGTGCATCAAAGTAAACACATACAAAACTTAATAATCAGTTGTCCTCATTTTCTGCAACAATAGAATTCATGTGAGATCACAGAATAAATGAACAGGATTTCTAACCAACCATCTTCAGGCATCCTGCCTATCATTCGGAATTTTTGTTTGAACATACTGAAATAGACACTCATCATAGGACAGATTTAAATGATCATTATCACAGTTTGAGTTCTTTTTGAAGGAAATGTCCAGATTTTTATGTCATTCACTATCCTAACACCTAAAACTAGCATAACTGCATGATGAGAATTATTTGCATGATATTGTGATTCCTATTTTGGCCAAGGTGTACAGAATTTTGATGTATTTTTCTCTCTTTAGCAAGAATTGCCACTGCCTAACCCAATTCTTTGCTTTAAAATCTGACACAGAAAACTAAACTTTGTATATATTTTTTTTTTTATTATTGTTAGGTTGAGGTTTTTTTTAATCATACTTAGCTAGAAGTAACTAAATGATTGCTAGCTGTTTATTGTCATCTAAGCATGTAATGTGGCTGTAAATTAGAACTGTTACTAAAATTTAAAGAAAGTCTGCCTTGTTATTTTGTTGCCATATAACACATAGCTCTGTAACATTATTACTTATGTTTGTAATGAATTGATCCACTCTTTCTACTAAAGAATAGTACGTTTGACATTGACATTAATTAAAATATAAGGGCTGGCCTGATAGCTCAGCAGCCTGCTTAGGGAGAGCGCAGAAGCCAGGGCTCAATCCCTGGCCTGCCAAGTCAATCCCACTCCTCCCACTAGTGCGCTTTGAGACTGGGCGTGGTGGCGCATGCCTGTAATCCCAGAACTTTGGAGGCTGAAAACAGGAGAATCACTGAGTCGGATCTACGTAGTAAGACCCTGTAGACCATGCCCAAAATACAGAAAAAAAAATTTTAAATATATATAATGAATGTAAGACTAAAGATATCAAAGAATAATCTTAGCTTTTTTTGGAAAACAAAAACTTAGGAGAGTCTTATTTTTCACATTATTTTGGTTGAAATTCTCCAGTATAAAGGAAAGAAAAAATAGAAAAATTTTAGTCCTAGTATTTGATATGTGAGTTATAATTTATACAGATATCACCAAATAGTTACATCAAAAGCACAACATATAGATGATAATGTCTCACTGAAGTGTTAAGTGATAGATATTACTGTCTAGTTTCAGGCACACATACTAAGCTATATTAAATTTTTATACTAGTTAAATGAGTTGAAAATTTGAAAATTATCAAAAGAAAAATTTAAGTGTCATTTTGATTAAAAAAATAAAAAAGGAGGGGGCCAGCAAGATAGCCCCGGCGACGAAGCGTCTGCTTAGGCAATTGAACCTCAGGTTCAATTCCTGGCACCACGTTCCATGCTGGTCCGGGCGCGGGGCATGCTGAGCTGGCAACTGAATGAAGGCGTGGTGGCGCATGCCTGTAATCCCAGCGCTAAGGAGGCTGAAAACAGGAGGATCGCTATGAGTCTGAGCTTTTTCATCAGACCCTGTAAAATAAATACATACAAAAACTTTTCCTTCAGCCTGTCTGTCTTTGAAAATATAAATATTCTCATCTGCCAAAATTATGTATCTGCATTCAAAAATATTAATGCCCGTAACAATGGATTTTTCTTTTTCTTGGTTGTTACAGCTGCACTAATGGGAAAATTGCCTCTAGTTGTCAGTTATGTGATGGCTACTGTTACAACGGGGGCACATGCCAGCTGGACCCCGAGACAAGTGTGCCTGTGTGTCTGTGAGTATTTCCCAGGGCTGTGAGTGATGTACAGCAGGACGTTTATGCACATGGAGTCCGAATTCTATTGCTCTCCTCTCCTGGGTAACATGTTTTAAATGAGTGTTTCACGGACGTATCTAATCAAGTATTGTCCCTCATTGGCTCATGCGTTCCAGAATCTTTTTCTTCATCGATTTGCTAATAATTTCATGAGGAAGAACTCATTCAGTTCCTAGCACCATGCCATTTCAGACATTCACAACTCTTTGAACTTGGAAACTATGGGGCAAAATGTTCTCATTTTATTGAACTTATTCAGATATTAAAGCCTAGAAATAATAATCTTTCGTGAATCCCTTATACATCTCAACATTATTTTCCAAAGAACTTGAGGTCTCTTCAAATGTATTATGCTATTTGATTTTTGTATCACATAGAGTATTGCATTATGTAAATCAATTAAGACCCAACTCCGAGTCTGGGTTTTTACATATGTAGAGAAAGTGTTGGAGATTCTTAATGTTCCCAAGAAAATATGGAAAATAATAATTTCCCCTCCTAATTATCTGAATGTGTAGAGCAAACGGCTTAAACCATCTACCGGATGTGGTCCCTGTGTTGAGTCTTGTTTGACCCATGTTTGATCCAAGAGAAACTGCCCTTATGTGGCCACATCTGCATCCCCTCCCCACCCCCGCCAGAGTAGCATGTGACAAATGTGTGTTGCGTAGAAGTAAGCATACTCGGGAACAGTTTTATTCATGTTAAAATCTCTAGATTAAAAAAAAAAAAGTTTAAACATATTTGGCAAAATAAAGTCAGACGCTTTATTTAGCTGTATTTTACTGAAATTCTGCAGATGCTCTGTGGGGTTTAAAAGTCAGCGCTGTGACCAGAAAGAGAACCCTTGTGATCACTACTGTCAGAATGAGGGGATTTGCACTTTAACTGCGTTTAATGAGCCGAGATGCAAGTAGGTTTAACCTTCCACTTACCGCTGCGCTTCGTGTGACATCATTCCAGGCCACAGTTCATTGGTTTAAATCATGAACATCCACATACATTTCACAGTGTGTATTTAATCTTGAGTCTCATTTGTGTCATACACACTTAACCTTTGCTTCCTTCACCCATAAGTGTGTCCAGCACGGACTGCTAGATGATCTCGAAATACAACAGAGTTAGAATAAGAAAGCCGGTTAAGCAGTCAAATAAAAACACATTTGCTAGAGTAATAGCTTTTAGTTGAAAAATATAGAAACAATTGTTTTAGGACTTTGTCTGTATATTATATTTGCTATGATGATTTTTAATTACTAACTGACTTTGTTTTCAACAATGGATAGAATGCTATACTATTTTATTTCCTAAAATTTCACTAATAACTACACTAATCAATACGATTTTTATAACAAAGGTAATATGATCATAAGAAAATACTTACAGAAATTTAAGCCCTTTGCAGTTTAAATCATTATTTCTTGATTCAGTTTATGGTATTTTCAACGTCCATGAAAAATAAATTCATATTTCCTCTGAAAATATTCAATGATAACCTCTAGGGTGATCATAACTAAGTTATATTTGCAAAGTGTGTTTGAGCTTTAGAGCAGACATATTTGACATCCTCCTTAATTCCCAATATCTTAATCAGTAGCTCCAGCTGGCATCTGATAGCTGGTGCACAGTGGTGATTGGCAGTATGACCAGTAATGGTTTTGAAGTAGGATTGTATTAAAATTTAGTTTTTTCTTTACCCAAACTCTACTACTTTTTTCATAATGAGCTCCTAGAGATTTCCAGGAAAAGCTTCAGCTGTGGGAGTTTGGTTTTGAAGGTGGTACCTGTTGGGAGGTAGAGGGAAGTCTTCCAGATCTGCAGCAGGGTCCCCATAAAAAGCTTGGCAATACTTTAGATGAAAAGCAGTGCCTTTACTGTGGCAGTACAGTGGGAGAAAAAATGTAGAAAGCAATGATTGGTTGATATTTCACTTAGTAAGTCCAAGGTGATCTTTGGCCAAATATGGTCAAACACTGAAGTAGTTCATTTTAGAAAGCCATAGCTCCCAATCTGGACCCTAGTTCTCCTTTTTCTACAATTGTCTAACTCATCCTGGGCACAAAAGAGGCACGGTGTTTCAAGCTCACCTTGCCCTCCCCTCTCAGACCACCAGATGACTTCTTGTCCAGAGAATGTCTCTGTGCCATTTGAATAATTCCTCCTCATGGATTCAGCTTTCTACAGTAATATGTCCTTTCATTTTCCATTCTAACCAAATGTCATCAGAATCAAATGATTTTGAAATAGTAATCAGCTTATTTGATAGACTCAGTCAAGAAAAATGTGCTAATTGGATAGATTTAGAGAATACCTCCTGATTTTATGCGCCTTTTTCTCTATCTCTGTGTGTGGCTCTGTGGAAGTGTTTCCAGTACCTTGGCTTTCCATGCCCTAAAATTGATTCAGATGTTAGAAGTAATGCTTGTATGGTAGTCTTCAAACATTTAAGTCATGAAAAACAGGGAAGTTAGGTACTATTTGAATTCATTCATTAATAAAATATTTACAAACAATGATACATTAGGTGTTATGTCAATTTAGAATTAAAACCACTAAAACAAACTCAGCAATTAATTTGTGCTGAACAGTAGTATTAAATAATTCAATTAAAAATACAATTTAAATACATTAAATAAATTTTTATGTAACATTAGATCATGAAGTTATTATTAGAATGTAATTTTTCCCCCATTTGCCTACATTCCAGAATGACAACATTGAGTTCACACTCTAACAAGACTGTGGAAACTTAAGAATCTACTCTTACTTATTTGATTCTAAAGTCCATGCCCTAGATATATATCTCATTCTGCACAGTTCTCAAGCTATAACTCCACAATCTAATATAGTTAAAGGCCTCAAGATACATTTTCAGTAGATGGATGGCCTTTGTAGATTAATATATCATTTTATAGTTGCTATGATGGTGATATGATAAAAGTGTGATAAGAAAACAATCGAATAGAGACATATGAATGATTCCAAGGGGATGAGTCCAAAGGTGAAGTAACATTTTAGCAGTAATTTGAAAAAAAATAATACTTGTTTTCCTGGAGGAAAATAGCTGCAAAAGGGTTTTGAAAGACAGAATATTATAGTCAAATTAAATTCTGCCTGAAAGTAAAATGTGAAGGTTGTTCATGATGGAAAACTGCTTTGAAACCTAGTAAGGAGCAATGTTCTAATCCTCTTTGAAGAAGGCTTCAACAAAGGTAAATGAGAATAAAAAGAAGTTGGAGGAGATTTATGAAATAGTTGATTCTGCCAAGATGCAAGAGTGGAGATAGTCAAAGAATCTAAACTCCAGATAGTTTGAGGAGAATAATAATGAATCATGCTTTAATAAACTTTTTAGTTAGGTAAACTTTGTGAGAGGTGTTGGAAAGTGATATACAGACCAAAAGCACAATATAGTTTTGAATTTTTTATTAATTTTATTGAGAAAAATAGCATTGAGACAGTTTCAAAACAGGTTAGTAAGACAGTTTCAATAATTAATAAATTGCATATTGTTTTCTTCATAGTGGTCATTCATAGTACCAGATGCGACATGATATCCTATCCAAACACTATTAGTATAAATCTTTCTCCTCATTGAATTAAGAGAAATTAGTTATATATCTATCCTAACTATTTTGCATACACAGATACAAAATGGTTTTTAAATGAAAGGTAGTAGATATAAGTAAACATTTAGTTATGAATTAAAGAACAACAACAGGTTGGTTCTAGGGGCAAACAATTTTATAATATGACTTACAAAATAAGGAATGTGTAGTATTATTCCAAGTCCCTTGAAGTAAGGGACTATGAAGAAAAGAATGATATTTCCAAGATGGATTACATGCCCATGTGTCTTAGTTTCAAAATTTCTACAATAGAGAAAAATTTCTTACTTCTCTGAGGATATTTATTATTAATGTGGTATTAACTTGTAAGTAAATATAAGCAAAATTTAATACTAAGCAGATATAATCATGTGCAATGCTAAGTATTCCAAGTAAGAGAACATGAAGGCCTCAGACTATTTTTCTAGTGGTTCCTCACAAGGAAAGATATTTCAAAAACACTGGTTAGAGCTTTAGGTCTCAATTGGTAGTGAACATGTATTATTAATGAACAGTTAGTGTGTACTATTTTATCTAAAAGCTTTTATAGGAAACAAAAATGCTGTAAGACACAGCATAGTTCTTTTTGTAGTTTTGTCAGTTGTACATTTTTCTTTATTTCAACCAGTGAAAAAGTATTTGAACTGTACAGAAGTTTTACACAACTCAAAAGTCTATAAAGTATTCAGATCTATGAAGGTGACAGCTTTTTCCACAAAGAAATTTTATTGCTATATCCTTCAATTTAAGGAAATGATTTTTTTTTCTTTGAAAGCCTTCACTTTTTGTCTCTTGGTAGTCATTTTCATTTATTACTATGTGTCGAGGCTTTGAAATAAAGAATGAAATCCAAATATTTTACATTTGGGTGAAAGTTTTGACATTTATTAAATTAGGTATACTGAACCATGTTGAAACTACCTTTTAAAAATGTGTTTTATTTTGATAGAAATTTAAGGTGTTTTTCTTAAGTTTTAGAAATTATCACTATTGTGAAGATTAATAAACTTAATAGTAAGTTGGCCATGCTTTCCTGATTCCAGGATTTCTCCCTTGGGCCCAATATTCAGTTATATTGGATTTAAGATTGTTATAACATTGACCTACCTCCACAGCACTCCTTCTCAATGATATTCACAGTGCCTTTCTGCCAGCAATGATAATGAATGGCTTTTAGCTCCCCTCTCTTTCCCACACCTGCTCCCACCCAAGGTGGACACTAATGTCCTCTGTGCCCAGGTGCAGCACCATTCCACTTCTAGATACCTCTGTCTGAACATCTCCCTGAGTCTCTTTCCCATATTTGTAGCTAATTTTTCTTATCCCATTAGTCTCAACTCGAGTATCACT